TAGAAAGTTCAAGAGGTAATAGGCTTTAGAACTGAAGTTACCAGATATGAGTGATGAATTAGCTGCATTCAGTTTCGAAAATGTAGAAGAGGAAACACCGTTGACAACAGTTGAGGGGAAAATCTGTTATTTAACCTATAATGAATAGTTTAAAAAAAAAAAGATTTTCAAACTTTCTTGTGTTATTTTTTTAAGATAAAAAAATCGTAATTTAAAAAAGAAATTTTAGAAATAAATTAATTTGAATAAAAAATATCAAGAAATATAAAAACTATTTTTAAATACATATATCAAAACAACGAAACAAAAAAAGGCACTAAATTATAAAAAAGTCACTAAATTATACTTCAATACTAAATCAACAAGAAGTTGCGTTTTTGTTTGATATATATTTTTTTATAACATAAATAGTTAAAAAAAAATCCCGATCTGACAATATACAAAAGTGTTAATTCATGAGTGTGATACTAATTATTACATTTGTCGATGAAAGAATGATGTAACAAATAAAAAAAACATCTTCTTCAGCAATTTTCATGATTGCGCTCGTCGACGTTATCTCGAGCGCACATAATCACGCTTGATGAAAACATATTTTAATTTTACGAGCGCGATACAACACGCTTGACGATTTTATTCGTCACAACCTGTATATATATATATAATATATATATATATATAATATAATATATATATTATATATATATATATATATATATATTATATATATATATATATACCCTGTATATATATATATATATAATATATATATATATAATATATATATATATATATATATATAATATATATATATATATATATATATATATATATATATAATATATATATATAATATATGTATATATATATATAATATATATATATATATATATATATATATATATATATATATATATATATATATATATATATATATATATATATATATATATATATATATATATATATATTTAAACAATTTTAAAATGCATTCTACAAAATAGATATAACAAAAATCTACAAAGTAGATATATATAAAAAATATATATATATATATATATATGCATACATATATATATATTATTGCATACACACATATATATATATATGCATACATATATATATGCTATCTTAAATAAAAAAATGTATTTATTGTTGCAATATTCATGCAAAATATCATGCATTGTGCATAATAAAGAGGAAAATAAGGAAAACTTGAGCTTAGTGGTAATTGGGGCATCAAAAGGTGCATTGTCAATCTTTAAAAATTTCCAGGGAGGCTAAAAAATGACCTATTAGGTTGAAGTTGTATGAAGGAAAAAGCATTACAAAAGTCTTTCAAAAATATTTCAAAACTTTATTAAATCTGTAAAGTAACTACTTAAGTTGTTAATTGATGAATTATATTTGGAATTAAATCTGGTTGAAAGGTTTCTATTCGCAATTTCAATAAGAAAAGAACTGACATTTTAGATAAACTTATTGTTTTCAGAAAAAAAATTTCTTTCTAGATCTAATATGAAGTAAACAATTAGCTGTTCATCTGTTAAGTTTGCCATTTTTTTAGATTATTGTGCACTTATCGGTAGTCTGGGCACGATAAATAATCAGTTTTTAACATAAATTTGAAATTTTAACCTTTATTGTTTAAGAACAATAGAATCTAGTGAAAATGGGCAAATTGCAGAGACTATCTGTTATTATGACTGTGTAGACTCAACTGGGGCTATTTCAATGTTTGAAAGTTAATAAAGAAAAAAATTATTAAATCCATCCTGTTACTCCAGAAGGTGCTGCTGTGGAGACTAGAAAAATAAAAAAATTAATCGTATGTAGCAAAAACTTTAAAATTTTATTTTAATTATTTGCTAAAAAATATATATAAAAAATTGATAATATATTGTGGTAAAGTGCAGATATAAACCCTTGCAAAATGACCCCAATTACAGAATACTAAACCACTGAGCTATCAAAATCATGCATTTAAGAAAAAAAAATCATTTTATTAATCTCTCAACATATGCAAAAAAGATGTGTATGTTAGACTTACAAAGCTTTAATATGCAGAATAGATGTGTATGTTAGACTTACAAAGGCTCGTAATTATTATTATATATTTATATTTAAAAAATTGTTTTGTAAAAACTCAAACTTTACTTTTCTTATTTTATCTGAATTTATAAATATTTTTATAAATATATTTGTTAAGAATGACCTTATTTTATGTATATATAAATTACAAATCGCAATTTGCACAACAATGTGCTGTTTTCAAAATTTTAACAACCTCATTAAAATACAGTTAAAGTAAATGTTGATTATTTCATTAAAATACAGTATACAAATATGTATAGAGTTATTTAAATATTACTAAACAAAAAAAATCGCTTATCGCATATTTCTTTTTGGGTAGGCCAATTGCTTTTTTTCCAACATTTTATCACAAGGTCTGTTCTCTCTGTATGGTCTTTTAGTTTGAATGTATTGAGATTAAAAGACAACATTATCAAGTTGTTCCTATATTACAAAACTCATTAATAAAGTTATAAGAGGTTAGGCAGTGATTGTCTATTTTACTAAGAAAACAATTAAACAACAACATCATTTTCAAGTTTTCAACTTTTAAATGAGATTGCTACCAATGCACCTAGATACTTAAATCAAAACTGCATCTTATCTTACAGCTGATGGATTTTATAAGATGCAGAAATTTAGTTGTTCGTTGTTGTATTTTCTCTGACATGTCAATGTTTTCCTTGATGATGAGGTGACCAGGCAGTAATTGCTGACTTAAGGCACAGTCTTATTTACATTGTACAGAGACTCTTCCATAGATTCTAGCTTGCAAGTCAAAGTATGCTTTAAAAAGCCAAGATTAAAATTAGTTTTGTCAGCAGCTATACAAGTTTTTTAAATGCAGCTGTAAACAACCTAAGTATTAACAATGCCATTTTGCACATGGATAGTTTCCCTGTTAATGGTTTTGTCATGCATTGTCAAGGCCACATTAGGAGCTCTAAGTTAGAACTTTGGGTTAATTAACAGGAGACAACTGCATAGCTCATTAGTTGGTATGGCATACTCTAGCTATAAATGAGAAAAGTTATTTTTAAACTTAAATCATGCCCAAAGTAACCCAAAATAATGAACATCAAAAACCATCCCCACCACCTAAATGCTTCAACAAATCTTTCACAAATATTTGTGGTCTTTAAAGTATTCTTTCGTCAGTTGAATCTTACCTCTTGCAAAATTCACTTGCTTGCTCTATGTGAAACTAATTTCATCTTATTCTTCTTCTCTAGGGCTAATGTCTTTTCTCTCTCTGCTGATAAATGCACCTTGTACATGACATACTTGATCCGGGCAGGAATGTAAGCGTTTATTCCTTTGCTTTGATGATAATTTAAACATCATTCTACTCCTTGGTTTTCAAGCAAACTAAGATCAACACATTTTATTTACATTTTTGTAAAAAGTTCAAGAAATTTTAACAGCATCATTAACGAAAGAAGGTCTAACATCCCATCACTCATTCATGGGACTGATATTATTACCATCCCCAAGGATAAGGCTAAACTATTTGCAAAGAGGCTTTCCTCCAATATTACTCTTGAGTCTTATTGCAATACTCTTCCTTCCATTCCAACTAAACAGTTTAACCCATTGTTAGGCATTTAAATCACTACAGCTTCCATTTCTAAAGTCATAAGTCAGTTAAACTTTTTTTACGGGTCCGGTCAGCTAGTAAATATTTTTATTTTATGAATGAGAAAACACTGCATTACAAAATTTAAATAAATAACTATGTAAATTTTAAATAAAATCTTATGCCTTTATTGCATAGTTTTATTAGTTTTTTATTTTTGATTTAATTTAATAATTTTTTATTTTTGCATTTTTTGCATTATTTTTTTGTGGTAATTTAGGTAATATAAAAGTATTTTTATTAAAATACTTTGATAAAACTCATGAAGTTAATAAATTACATATTTAAATTGATTCAAGTAGGGTTTAGCGTTCATTTACTTAAGTGTACTGTTTTGTTTATCACTCTATAATTGCACAACTATCCAATGCTTATGTTAATTGTTCATAAACCATCTAATCATTAAGTCTGACGTTTATGTAATAACTGTCTGATATGTAAAGATTAATGTATAACTATATATATATATATATATATATATATATATATATATATATATATATATATATATATATATATATATATATATATATATATATATATATATATATATATATATATATATATATATATATATATATATATATATATATATATATATATACACACATATATAAAGTGTATTTATAAATAATGTATAAATAGTAATAAAAAAATCTGGAGTGGAAAAAACTACAAATTGATGGAAACATTTTCTTTGGACTAGTTTAAGTTTCAAGTTATTGGTTCCAAGAGAAGATTATTTGTCTGAAGAAAAATCAGTGAATGGATGATAAAAAAATTTGTTGTTTTATCATCCATTCACCAAATGGTTTAAATGGTTTTTATCTCTCCTATTAAACCTTTATTGGATAAACTAAAAAGAAATGTAAAAAAACTAATGTTTAGTGTTGCAAAAAATATGTGAAAAAAACTTAATAGTAAGTGGTATAAAATTGACTTTGACAAATTGGATAAGTTGTTATATAGAATGCCAAGAATATTAAAACGATTATTGCTGCCAAGGGTGTTTAGATAGATGAGAGTAAATTATAAAGTAGTTCAATTTGATTTTATGTTTGGAAACTTAGTCAAAAGTAAAATAGCTTATTTTCAAGTAATTGGCATTCAGTTTTCAGTTTCTCTCCCAATAGTTAGCAAAAGTTTGATAAATTTGAAAAGTATGACCATTCAAATAATCATGGACAGTAGTGTATATTAAACAGCAGATGTTTTCTTATGGCTTTTGCAGGTTTAATATTTAAATATTTCAGTGTCATGATTTATTTTACTAATCATATTTTTTTTTCAGGTGGTACAGTTGGCTTTTGCATGCAATGTGAATTGACAAATCATTTTACAAAAGTTTTTCGAGGGAATACAAATGGTGCTATTAAACCAATGTCTATAATTCAAAAATTACAGTGTAAAACTTTATTTTATTATCTGACATTTGTTCCATTTTATTATCTTACATGTTACAGTTTTATTGTTACTGAGTTTTAATACACGTTCTGAATAATTTATAAAATATAAATATTATAGAAATATATATTTTAATTTTTTAGTAGTTATCACATTACAAGTTTCTGAAATATTTTCACTTATCTGACTTTCCTCACTAAATATTTCTTAGAGAAACAATAATAGAGATTAGAAAAAAAGTAATAGAGCAAACAAAGTGGAGGAAAAGTCAGTACAAATATGTATTTGTATCAACATTTGGATCAAAATTTCAGAGTAATATGAAGTACAAAAAACAGATTGTACTTCATTATTGTAACAGTTGAATTTTAATTGATATGGTATGCAATCCAAAATTACCATTTTTAAACCATGCAAACTAATTCTAACACATACTTTGCTAAAGCATGGTTACCATAAACATTATAAAAAATGCAATGACTTTTGGCTGCGATCTTCATATTGAAGTAATCAAGTTATGCTCAAGACTAAATATATTTGATGAAATAAAATGTCATCAGAAATACATATGGTAATGTTACCATATGTATTTCTGATGACATTTTTTCTGATGACCATATCAATTAAAATTCAACTGTTACAATAACACAATCTGTTATTTGTACTTCATATTGCTCTGAAATGTTGATCCACTAAAATAATTCAGTGCATAGAAGTTGTAGGTTAAACTTAGGTAGTTATTAACATTAGAGTAAAGTCATATATTTTTATATAAAAGTTTATGCACTCTTTTTGATGGGTTCAGCTGGGTTTAATTTACTATAAGTTACTCTAACATAAAGAATTAATTAAGAAGCATGTTACAGAATACAATCAATTTAATTAAACCTCACACTGAAGAAAAAAATGGTTGCAATAACTTTACCCTTGTGTATGGAAATACACAAGGGTAAAGTTATTTTACAGCATGAAGTGTTCAGCCTCATATTGCTTAGCCTGTAAAAACCTACTTAGAAACACAATCAGAAAACCCTACCCCACTTACCATATTGTTCATACAAATTTAACTAAATGAAAAAATACATAATAAAATAAATTTTTCTCTTGTTTTAGATTTTGTAATTTTACAATAAAAATGGATTTGGATTATACCGGGATGATGGTTTAGCGGTTTTTGAAAATAGAAATGGACCTGAAATGAAAAAAATTAAAAAACATATTGTCAATATATTTAAACAAAACGATCTTCTTATATCAACACAGTGCAACATGAAAATTGTAAAAAAATCTAGACGTTAAATCTCAATAACCACACGTTTTAACTAAATTCCAAAACCAGAAACTCTTTAAACTATATTCACGTTGATTCAAACCATCCACCCAGTAGTTTAAAATAACTTCCGCGTTCTATTGAGTTAAGATTATCTGCAAATTCATCAAGCGAAAAAAATTTTTAAAATTCTACTGACATGTATAACGAAGCAATGTTAAAATCAGGTTTCGTTCATAAGCTTTCTTATCATCCTAACTTAAATTCAACTCATGCTAAGCACCATAAACGCAACATCATTTGGTTAAATGGAAAATAATTAAACAGTCCAATGCTTATAACCCTACGAAAAAAATCTTGTAATTTATGCTTAAATAAGAAATATGAAAATCTATTCTCTAGAAATCCAAACTTATTAAATAAAAGGAGTGAATAATAGTGCAGGCATAAAAACAAATTTCTTCTGGCTAATTTTGATACTGTGATTAATCCAGTTTCTATGTTACTTTTTGTTTTGTTTTGACGTCAGAACCCATTCTATTGTTGTTTTTGTATTTTGTATTTTTAACAGTTTTTCTTGATTAAAAAATATATATATGGCTAATAATTGTCGAAATGGCATGAAACTTCAAGTTCCATCATAAAGTTGTATTTTTTCATTTAGTTAAATTTTTATATATAATTGATGATCTATTTTGTAAATAATTAATTTACATTATATTGATCACTCTAAAATGTACAAGAGGCTTTGTATCTCTATTTGGTACAAAAAAACTTGCAAATATATATATATATATATATATATATATATATATATATATATATATATATATATATATATATATATATATATATATATATATATATATATATATTATATATATATATATATATATATATATATATATATATATATATAGGCCCGGATTTACCTATAGGGCAGACTAGGCACTGCCTAGGGCCCAAAATCTTGGTTGCCATCTCTTAAAAATTACTTTAGTAATTTTTTAGTAAAAACATACACCCCTTCCTTGTTTATTTATAATTTGTGAAATTAAAATGTAGGGTATAATCAAATTTTCAAATAGAAATCAAATTTCAACTTAATAAGTTGAAATTTGAATTCTATTTTTACAAAATAAACTAAAAACTAAGATTAAAAAGTATTTTTTAAGTTTTTACATTTACATATTTATATTAAGTCATTTACATATTTACATATAAGTCATTTATCATTATATAAAATTATTATATATATATATATATATATATATATATATATATATATATATATATATATATATATATATATATATATATATATATATATATATATATATATATATAAACTACATTAATACAAGTAATAAAAAAAGAAGTAATATGAACAATAATATTAAAAAAGTTGGAATCAGAACAAAAATATAAAAGAGTAATGCTAAGAAAAATGAAAAAGAAAGAGAGAATGAACGGATGAGATAAGATTAGTAAAAAAAAAATGTAAGAGAAAATAATGTAAGAGAAAATAAAAATGTTAATTACATATGTTCAGAAAGATAGAGTGAGAGAAAAAATTTTTTTGCAGAAAAAGATAATAAAAAATATATATACATGCAATACATACAATATTAAAACCTATATATATATATATATATATATATATATATATATATATATATATATATATATATATATATATATATATATATATATATATATATATATATGTATATATATATATATATATATATATATATATATATATATATATATATATATATATAAATTGGCAAAAAAATATATATATATAAATATATATATATATATAAATTGGCAAAAAAAGTTTGACACTAAGGGTTTACCATAAAACACAGAAATGAGGTTGGCAATTTTTTGCAAACTAATGATGGGAAATGATCCCCCATACCTGCTTTGTAACCCCTTTAGAACCCCGTTTTTGTCTAAAATTACATATTTCTAAATGTGTTAAAATCAGTTAGTGTCAGTGTTACATGGATCAGTTTTACTTATTAAGGTTATAAAAGTTAAAAGAATGCATATAGCAAAATCTATTTCCAGACTTTACCTTAGAAATGATAGGTCCCGGACCTGTTTTTTAAGCTCTTTTAAGACCCGTTTTTTCGAAAATGATAAATTTCTGAAATGTGTTAAAACAAACTATTGCCAGTGTTACATGCATCAGTTTTACTTATTAGGGTGATGACAAGTCTATGAATGTATATAGACCTCGGCTATATTTGGGGCAAAGGGAAGGGGGAAAGATGCTGTTATTAGTACTTTAAAAAGATCCTTTTTTGAAAATTCCTCAATTTTTTCAATTGTGAGTACCAGAGGCCCCAAATGGTGTCCCTCTACCAGCCATAATTGAAATTGATAAATTTAAAAATAACAAAAAATATTTTACTTAAATGAAACTTTTAAAATAATTAAAAGTTTTCTTATGCATTCAAGAAAACATATTACAAATAACAAATTTTAAAATTATTTGAATGACATAATTTAATCACACCTTGACATATAAATAAATTATAATATAACAGAAAAGCAATAGCCATATATATTTATTATTATTATAATGTATTTAACTATATATTTAGTTCATATTATATGTATATATATATATATATATATATATATATATATATATATATATATATATATATATATATATATATATATATATATATATATATATATATATATATATAAATATATATATATATATGCATATTTGAATAGATTAAATTGTTGTTATTTGGAATGATTATGGCTTAACTGTTTCTTAGTAGCTTCAGTTGAAAAATGTTTTCTATGATACTCAACTACTTGGTAGAAAAGCTTGTCTTGTTGATTGTCAATTTTTGTCAAAACTTCATTTAAGTCAGTGGCTTATTTAACTGCTCGTTCTGCACAGTCATTAACCACTTTCATGGCACGAACTATCTTACAAGCAGACTTGTAGTTGTCACAATTAGCCCAAGTTTTAGGAGACGATGTCAAGAATTCTTTTGGTAGATTGAGTCAAATAAATTCATTGAATATCGTGTAACAAAGTTAGCTATAGAAGTTTAGAGAATGTATAAATCTTGTTTGGAGCAAATTTTCTATTGTCACATGGTAATGGTTCTTTTTGTAAGTTATAATTTCCATTTTCTCTTCAACATAAATTTTACTACTAAATAATGGGAGAGCAGCTAGATCTTTATTAAATACTATAACTGATGTTTAATTTTATTTTTTGCAACATTTGCAACTTTGCTGTCAACTTGATAATAGTTCTCAATTACTTTTAAAAGAAAGAAATCATTTTAAGATGCTTCTGTTGCGAGAAGTGCTGAAAACCAGAAACATACATATCATAACCTCATCTGCAACTGTGTTGCAGGGTATTGAAAAAGTTGACTTTTTGATTATTATTTCATAAAAAACTCTACATAGGGCAACACCACTTGTTGGCAACTGACTTGGCCTATCCATTGTTGAGAGAATATGTCCAACTAACCAAACATTTGTAGTTGAACGTGTTGTTTTGCCTGAACCAGCCATCTTCTTAAGTAATATTTTATACTTTTTTACTATAATAGAAAGAATATAATAGAAATTTGATCAATATAAAGTGCTCAAAGTCAAATAATAAAACAATTAAGTCTTAGATGATACACCACCTATTTTCTCTCATTTTTCAATAATGAAATTGAAATATGCATTTT